CTCGAGGCCTCAGATTTTTCCGTGCGCAAAGAAAAGCTCATGGCGCAGTGCTTACAGGAATTCAAAATCAACGAAAAGCTAGTCTAGTTACGTAACTCTAATTATTTTAAATCACTTTAGCTTTTTGACTGAAGCAGGATGCACCTTATATTTTATTTTAATTGCAATTTGCACTGGCCAATGAATTGAATTCTAAGTTTTGTTTTGTTTTTTTTTTAACGTAGCAGTCACACCAGGGTCAGAAGCACTTTCTGAAGCTTGGTTATAAAGGTTTCTACATTACCTATTTGAGATATTGCACTGTATGTACTCGGCATCTTATTATTAATATAATAAGACGAGGCGTTTGCTTTAACATAAAAAAAAAACATCATCAAACTTCGTTGTTATCCTCTGTGATATTTATGTATGTTCTCTGCAAGGAATTAGAGGAATAACGAATAAGCCCTTGACTTTCGAGAAGATTGAATAAGACTGTTAACAATAGTTGAATATGAATTGATGTCAGGAAAGGGCAAAGATGGAACATAATGGATGGATTCTGTATGGATGAATGGATGGTTAAATGAATAGATGAATGGATGAATAGATGAACGGATGAATGGATGAATAGATGGGCGGATAGGGAGGTCGAGCAGATGGACTGAGTGGCTGAAAAAGGGCACATTTGACGAATATAAGCTCAGATATGTATAATCACGAGAGGTGAAACTACGGGAAGAGGTGGATACCTTTCTGATACAATCATATTAATTACCTTGACTTCTCGCAAAAAACTCTTCAGTTGACTTGCAATCTTAGAAAATTTTGGTCTCATCAAAGGATTTTCCTTCCAGCAAGAACTCATTAGTTCATATCTAAAAATTCAATAAAGCATTATTAAACATCTTGTATTATATGCTGAAAGTGTTATTGCGAATAATATTTTTAGCATATTAATTTACTCCATGAAGCCTAGAGAGGAGTGCAAAGAGATGTCTTTTTAATGTTACACCCTATAAACAGGATCATTGAAACGTTAATTGTCATTTAGCTTGACGTGCAACCAGCTATTTATCTAAAAAAATGGGCTGGAACTATGGGTAATTATATTTAAATAACGTAAGTAAAGGCTCGATTATTTGAAATCTACATATCAATTATCACTATAAGCTTAATGTAACTCTTGTCATACTTACAATTCTTCTGAGCATTGGTCAGGACGAGGCATCCGGTATCCGGTTGCAAGTTGACTTACTAAGGCAAACGGTGATGTGATGTCGGGGTATGGCAAACCACCTAGTTGGCAGAAAGGAGATATGATTTACCAATCATAGTTTAAAAAAGGGCTTATAGGCAAAGTGAATGAGTATTTCATCAGTAAATGCATGAAAAAAGTAGAGATCTGAAAAGGCTTCATATGGTTCAGTCAATAAATGAAGGTTTAAAAGTTGAGACAAATGATATAAGCAAAGGAAAGAAGAGTGTAGCAAGGACTCGTTCCCTATCTGAACACCATGCGGCCCTCTGGTCTTGTCCAAGTTTGTCTAGCAGTTTCAAGGTTTAAAGGACAACTGTATCCGCAAGTACCTTCGCATTAAAAACAAGCTAAAGATAAGGAGCCTTGCTGACACTGATAGGAAGCTCGTGACGAAAACATGACTAGTGGTCATTGGATATCGCTTTAAGTCGCACGTATCATCAGACTACACTTACCATAAGTGGCGATTTCCCATAAGACAATACCAAATGACCACCTGCAGATATACATCAAGGCCTTAATAACTTCAAGGAATAAGAAAGGATTGTAACTGAGCGTCTAATTCATACTTCCAAAGCTTAAGAGCTCGCTTTAGTATTCCTGTCACGTGGATCGCGCGCAGCCTAGCATTTGTCAGACTTTTTCAATGTATAGATTTTTGTTTTTGTTTTTTGTTGTTTTTGCCGTTTTCTATTTTCCATATGGTGTCGTTTTTAAACAACTTATAGGTGCTGTAGATACTTGATTGGAAAGAAAGGGTATTTAGTTCATTTATGTGCCAAGGATGCGTCCTTAAATGAAAATAAGCACAATCATGGGTATAGATGCATGCAGATGAATAAACAACGCAGAATTGATCTTGAATGAAACACAACTAAGTTGTCAGAGTTCTTCTGAAATAAGTAGAATTCTAACCTATCTTTTAAAAAAAAAGCAAATAATAAGCTGTTTAATTTCATAATAATGCTCCCATTTTAGCACAGCGGCAGACAGATGACTTTCTTGCAAATAATTTGTATCAACCGATACGAGATAAATTTATTACATTATTACCGAAAAATTGGAACTCACACGTCACTTGCGGATGTAAAACTTAGATCCCGTAGAGATTCTAACGACGACCATCTCCACGGAAAATTGCCCTGTTTAAAAGAAAGGCTCGTGTAAACGAGTATTTGTGAAACGGCGATGCCTCTCGAAAATAGTTGAAGAATGACTCACGAATCCATCCCAAAGACGCTTTCAGTAAGAGAAATAGCGTTATTTACTTATGTATTTAAACTTATGATCATAATTACTCAGGTTAAATAAGATTTTCTCTCAGATTGTTATGATGATGATAATGATTATTATTTTTGTTATTTTCATTACTATTGTTGACTTGCTATAAAATCCAGGAAAACAACTTTTGTATTCACCATCATCGTTACTTTTATTATAATAATGATTATTATCATCGGCAATAATACCATTATTA